TGTGTGTGTGTGTGTAGACTAGAGCTCAACCTTGGGTATTATTCTTCTGGACACACCCACCCTCTTTGAGCCTCCCTGACCTGACCTGAAACTGCCCATTAAGATAAGCTGCCAAGACTGGAAACCACATTCATCAGTTTGTCTCCACTTCTACAACACTGAAATTACGAGCTTATACCACCATGTTGGACTCTTTACACAAGGTCTGGGGTAGGACACAGCTCACGCTTGCACAACAAGCGCCTCACCAACTGAGCTATCACCCTGTATGAACTCCACTAGAGAGATGGTTTGTTATTGTCTGCCACGTCTCAAACAGCTTACTGAAACATAATGTATGGTATGGCATGCTGGGAAAAATATAATAGTGAGATTAGAGGTTAAAATTTCACTCATGTCCTCCTCAAAGAGCATCAGGAATCTGGATCTTAAAAGTCATAGTGTTTTGCCCTGATCAATGTAAGGAGTATATTCTACCCAGCACTGTATCCAGACAACTACAATTGCAGACCCTAGGCAACAATGTCCCTCCTCAGCACTCTCTTCAGCGCCTTGGCAACATCCTTGTTCCTGAGAGTATAAATCAGGGGATTCAGGGTAGGAGTAATGATGCTATAGAAAACAGAACCAACTTTGTCTTGCAGTGGAGTGCGTTGGGACCGGGGTCTCATATAGGAGAACATGCAGGCACCATACCAAAGAGAAACCACAATGAGATGAGAACTGCATGTGGCAAAGGCATTCCTCTTACTCCCAGCTGAGCGCATCTGCATGACGCTGTGCAGAATGAATCCATAGGATGTAGAGACAAGAATGATGGGGAGGAGAAGAAGAACAACACTACAGATGTACACTGTGATCTCATACAGAGTGACATCACCACATACCAGCTTCACAACAGCTGGATACTCACAGTAGAAGTGGTGGATGATTCTTGAACCACAGAAAGGGAAGCTCATCAAGATGGATGTGTGGATTAGGGAATTCACAGATGCACTCAACCATGACATGACAGCCATCATCACCCCTACTCTTCTGCTCATGAGCACAGTGTAGCGTAAGGGGTGACAGATGGCAACATAGCGATCATACGACATGAGACACACTCTGCACCACCAAGTGTGCCAGGAGGACACACTCTGCACCACCAAGAGACAGGTATAAGAAGTGCTGGGTGGCACAGCCCACAAACGAGATGGACTTCTTGCCAGACAGGTAGTTGCTCGCCATCTTGGGAATGGTTGTGGAGACATGCATCAGATCCATGAGGGACAGCTGGCTGAGCAGGAAGTACATTGGTGTGTGAAGACGGGGGTCAGCGCAGATGAGGAGGATGGTGAGGCTGTTGCCACTCACTGCAGTGAGGAACACCAGCATGATCAGGAGGAAAAGACAAAGGTGATTGAAGGAGTCATCAAAGAGCCCTTGAAGGGTGAAGTCTTCCAGAGCAGTCTGGTTCCACCTCCACATGCTCCTCTCCTCCACCTCTGAGAGAACCAGGAGAGGACAGGAGTGTGATGCAAGGAACACAACTTCAGAAATAAGTTGGGAAAAGAATTTTTTATTCTTTTTTAATTTTTATCAGGTATGGTTTTATATGTGCAGGGTACTTTACATGCAGACATTATCTTTTTATTATTTTATGTTTATGGATATTTCTCCTGCCTGTATGTCTGTGCACCACATGCACACATTGCCTGGATGCCAGAAAGGGGCACTGCATCTCCTGGAACTGGAGTTACAGAGATCATGAGCCACAATGTGGGTGTTGGGAATTGAACTCAAGTGGGATGGAAAAGTAACCTAGCTCTTAACTGCTGAGCCGTCTTTCTAGCTCTCAAATATGGACATTTTTCATGTAAGCCTATATTTGTTTCTAATTATTTCACATCCCTAATTATTGAAATAGTTGAATCTTGAAATCATGACCACTCTAAAATTTAAGAATATATAGACTTCTACAAACATTTCTCATTATGAAACACAGACTACGTCTATGTATATAGGTGTGTCTGAATGTGTATTTACGCTGTGTATTGTTTGCTTGCTTTTTTTAGTCTTTATTGTTTTACGGTTTTCACACATTTACAGAATGAGTTTTAGTCATTTTCACCCCTCCTTTCCATACATTCTTCTTCTCTCTCATATTGGAACCCCCTTTTTTCAAGGAATGTCTCCGCTCCCCCTGCTTTCATATCTTTTCTTTGTATGTGAATCATGGACCTCAAGTGGGAGTTTTTTTGGTGGAGCAAGGACAGCTTATCTGTGGCTACACAGCTGAAGAAAATGACACCATTGTTAGTAATCTATCTGGCGAGGCCTTGGGGCAGTCCTATCTGTGATAAAATCTTGAGAGGTCCAACCTCTCAAGTTGGTTCCTTATTAGTTAATTTATTATACACTCCAACTCCAGAATTCCAAGCAGTTTGGCAATCTTACACATGCATCTGATTATAATGGGTCATATGTAAAATATCGCTCTCACCTGACATGGAAGCCAGGTAAGTTTATACATGGTTGTTAGATTAGTCTGTGTGATGGGGCGGCCTGGGGGAGATAGTTCATTTGGTGAAGTTTTGTCCAGGCCAGAGGATCTGAGTTCAATCCCTAGCATCTAGACGAGAAAATGCTTGATGTGGCAACACCGAGTGGAGATCCTTGACAATGGCTCACCAACTAACCTAGTCAGTGAGGCCTAGGTCCCAGTGAGAGTTTTGTCTCAAAAACCAAGATAGATTGTTCCTAAAGAATGGAACCTGAGGTTGTCCTCTGACTGCCACACTCAAACACACACACACACACACACACACACACACACACACAAACACACACACACACAAACACACATATATGCTTGTGCAATCTCATGCATGTACACACATGCACATGCACACACACACACAAACTATAAGATGGGAAATCAGGAAAGGAAATCATTCAAAAGAATATCAGTTAAAAGACAGGTTAGAACCAACAAACATGCTCTGTAATCACACAAAACCCAATGTTTTCCTGCCTCTGGAATCTGTTGGTAGGGCATGTTGCAGGGTTTGGGGAAATTCTTAATGGATCTTAGTGCACTCAACCATCTCAGAAGTCGAACTATCTAAAAGAGGATGCTGAAAAACAGACCATTCCAGAACCAGGAGTTGTTCTATACCAGTTAGGAAAGAAACACATGAATAAACTAAAAATGACTTGTTTCCTTCCAGGAATGTTCTCTGTGACCGATCTTTTAGCCAGACGCACACAAAAAATGACAACTGGGAAATGTAACTCATTCAGCCAAGCTGACATTATAGAAACTCCAGAGTTCATCCAACTGTTGATATAGGACACACACATACATACATACATACATACATTCACACACACACACACACACACACACACACACACACACACACACACACACCTTCCATAATGCTGAATCTCCAAATGAACATACTATCGCACAACCAAGCTCAAGCTGACCCTTTGCCCAGAGGACTACACAACATCCATTATTTCTATGTTGGGTGCCATGAACTCCAATGAAGTCAAATGCCCTGTTTATGACCTAATTATTTTTATTTTGCTTGATGTGCATGCATAACAATTACATGAGGGATTGGAGAGATAGTTCAGTCAGTAAAGGGCTGGCTACACAGCAAGTCCAGTCCCCAAGAACCCACATCAAAAAGACAGGTGTAGGACTGTGAGACTATAAGCCCAGCCCTAGGAAAGTGGAGATGGGCTTCCCTGGGCCCACTAGCTAGCCAGTCCAGTTGAACCAGTGACCCCACACCCTGGTTCAGAGAGAGACTTTATATCAAAATCACAAGGCAATAAAGCAGAAGACACCTGACACTGATTTCTGGCCTCCAAAAGCAAGCGCGCGCGCACACACACACACACACGGCTTTCTTTTTTCTTTTTTTTTTCTTTTTGGTTTTTCCAGTTAGAGTTTCACTGTAGCTCTGGCTGTCCTCAGCTGTAGACCAGGCTGACCTCAAACTCACAGAGATCAATCTGCCTCTGCCTGTCAAGTGCTGGGATTAAAGTCATGCACCCCCATTGCCCAGTGAACACATAGAATTATCCACAGAACGAATCATCCTATATTTTAAGAAAAAGTGGGACATTCTATGGTCATCAGCTCCCCTTTTACTCAGCCACTCTTATCAATTCTCAATAAATCTATCAGTGACGCAACAAAGATAAATATTGCACATGAATTTGGCAAAATGGACTTCTGCTCTCCATGGCCGAGCTGACCAAAGCCAACACTGAAGACCCAGTCTGACAGCAACCAAGGTCACCATCACGTTTCAATATGGCCCCATTCTCTAGGTAAGCATGTGGTTAAGTGGTAGCAGATTGGCACTCAGTGCAGAAGGGACAACCCTTTCTTCTTACCACAGGAGACACTTTCTCTGGACTCACTTCCCATGTCTGCTGCTCGGCTGCCAAAGCGACCTCCTACAGACACACGATTACTCATAGCACACGATTACTCATAGTCTTGGTGCTCCAAGCAACATTGTTCCTGACCAAAGAGCTCATTTCACAGAAGACCAAGTGTGGGAATTGGCTGATGCTCAGGGATTTATCAGTCCTGGAGGGCAGGGACAGCTAGACAGTACGTGTAAGATATGTTGATCTGGATACACACTTATGAGCATGGAGGCTCAACCCCACCCACCTTGTAAAGACAGACAGGAACTCTTACTGAGGCCCAAGCGTAGCCAGTTAGGCTAAGCTAGAAATCAGCCTGTTTCCAATGCCCTAGTGATGGGTTATAAGCACATGCTACCACCACGATTTGATGTGGGTTCTGGGGATCAAACTCGGGCCCTCAGTCTTGGGCAACAAGCCCTTTGTTAACTGAGCCATCACCACAGCCCTTCATCAGTCTTACTACGGGACCTCTGTGTTTCCTGTTACAACGAGTCTAGTAGACTGATGGTGCCTGTTAAGACTCAACTATCATGACTGCTAATGCAATTCCTTGTCTTGCAGACACTGTCATCTGGAATGAAGTAAATACTGATTTATACTTCTGTTTCTCTTACAACACAGATTCACAGAACCAGACTCCAAGGACTCAGTGGATACAAAGAGGAATGAGTCCTCTCACTATAAGGTCTCTAGGGGCCAGAGATAAGGCTCAGCTGGTAAAGGAATACTGCCAAGCCTAATGACCTGAGTTCATGCCTGTGAACCACATGGTGGAAAAGAGAACTAAACTGAAAGAATTGTCTTCTGACCTCCAAACGCCCATGGTAGCACAGAAGCAAACAAATGCAACACACACACACACACACACACACACACACACACACACACCATCCCACACAGATAAACACACACACTATACAGAAACACACACATACACGAAGAAACACAGCCACACCATACCACACAGATATACACACACACACAAAGAAACACACGCACACAAGTAAATAAAATGTAGTTTATACACAAAGTCCTCCATCTATTCCTGTTTTTATAAATCTCCACAGGAGAGGCGTTTCATCTATGCCTCTTGTCTCTCCTCCTACCTTAGGAACCTTTGTAAATAATTTTCTATCCTCATTTGTAACCCACCTTTTCTCTTTCTTCTCCAGAAGTCTTCTTCGTACTCTGATCAAATGTTTCCTTTGGCTTGAAGCATAACTGACAACTAACTACCTTCTGGCAAAGCTTTCCAGGATTCATCAAGCCCCAATGTTAGCTTACCCAGAATTTCTTCAGCAGGTACTAGTGAGCAGAAGAAGCACAGAGGAGAAATGGAAAAGGAAGGAGGGTCCACACGGGCATGCACATTGCCTATTGTTCGTGCCAAGAAACCTTGTCTTGTTCATCAGGCTTCCTTCTCCAGCCCTGGGAATTTCCATTTACTGTTGGAGTGGAACAGAAGATGCTAACCCAACACAACCATCATTGCACTAATTACCTGAGTTATAGCCTCACAGAAGCAGTAGGGCATGTGACTCCACAAGATTTTCACAACCCCTGCTCATAATCTGAACTCTCTCAGCCCACAGTAATGCAGATTCTAGATTTGACCCATTTTAACACCTACTAAGTCTTGGAAGCATCCAGATGTTGCTTCTGGATTTAAATATACATCTCCACAACCTTTCCTCCCCAATTTCTAAGCTTAGCCAACAGGACTTCTCATTAATATTTCCTCATTAAGATGCTAAACATTTTATCAGCTTCATCATCAAAGTTTCCAAAGTCAAAAGAAAATCTGATTCCTATTTTCTGCTGTCCCATGGATCTTGGCTAACCTTCTCCACTGTTTGTACTTGTTCTCTATGTAACAAAAACCTAAATTTTTATTTTACAGGCAGGGATTCCCCATCCTGACTGACAACTGTTTTCTCACTAGTAATAAAACAGACTTGGCCTGACATGAGCCTGTCACAATAGAAAAGCAACACCTTCTATGAGAAATGAAATGTTCCCCGTCCTGGAGG